GTTGTTACCGTATGATACCTACCTTGTCAACTGAACCCTCGTGTAACCAGGGAAACCAGCATTACTGATTTCCTCGCCAACACAGCAGTAGATAACCATGGGCTCTCCTGCTCATGCCCACCTTTCCCCGCTATGCTGGGCCGTTACTGAGGAAGTGCAGCGTGATTCATCCTATCTTATCATGCCTCATACTCATCTACGTCTTGTACTGCTCTCATGTTGACATGGTCTTGGGCGTGGGCATCTCATCCTTTTATCAGTTCCGTTAAACAGGGGCGTCTTACAAGGTGGACATTCCCCCCGCCATCATCTTTTCGTGTGTTGGAGTACTTCAGTAGACGGAGGAGGAGGAGAGGTGGCGGTGAAGGGGGAGGGGGAGGAGGAGGAGGAGGAAAGAGGCACAAGGGAGGATGAGGAGGAGTGAGAGGAGGAAGGGGGGGGCGGGGACAAGGGAGGAAGGGGGCAGGAGGGAGGAGGAGTGGCTGCTGAGTGGGACATGCTGCAGGTTTTTCCTCATCTGTCGACGGAGAAGATTCTGACGACTGAGCTGCTGAGAGGAGTTGCGATCGACAAATGCTCGGAGTTGCCACAGGAAGAGAAGGGGATGAGAGAGGGAGGGGGCGGCAGAGCAGAGCAGAGCAGAGCAGGGGAGGGGAGCAGAGGAGAGCAGAGGAGAGGGAGTGAGATCCGGCAGAGTTTGACTTGACAGATTCCAGGAGGAGAGGAACAAGATAGCTCATAGGATGATGAAATTGACGCTGAGGGAATTATTCGAGTTCAACCTGATGCAGGTGATTATGATGAAGTTGTTGTTTTGGTCTTGATATTGTCTCTCCTTTCCTCTTCTTTTCTTTCCTCCTCTCCTCCTCTCCTCTCCTGGCAGACTGACCCCAACTGGTCAAACTTTCTTTACGATCGCGAGCACGACGTTATGAATCTCATTGACTTTGGAGCGACACAAGAATATCCCCTCAAGTTCTGCTACCAGGAAAAGATCTCCTCCATTCTCCTCTCCTCCTCCCCATGCCCCCAACACACTTTTCTCCTTCTCAGCCCTGCCTTCCTCACCCTTCAGATCGTATCACCAAATATGCTCCTACAAATGACCTCTGCTCTCCTCTCCTCTCCTCTCCTCTCCTCTCCTCTCCTCTCCTCTCCTCTCCTCTCCTCTCCTCTCCTCTCCTCTCCTCTCCTCTCCTCTCCTCTCCTCTCCTCTCCTCTCCTCTCCTCTCCTGACCATCACCAATACGTTGCCCCAAA